GGTTTGGAAAGACATGAGGGTGAGGAAAGGATGACAGCATTTATTAGCAGTAAATTTCCTATGTTCTAGCACAAAATCAATGCTTATACTGTCAAGTGCATTTCTATGTGGCAAAAATGCAGTAGGCTATTAGTCTGTTGCATTTGCTGTGAATTCAGTAATATATCATTATTTGTTTTTGTCCTCATTTATTTATTTATTTACTTACTCCAATTGAAGGCCCTATAACACAGCGAAACATTCACAGGGGACCTTCAGGGCCGGGTAGGCTGGATTTGTCCAGGGACGAATTTTAACCCCAGTCCAGCCCTGTACCGTCACTACGCAACAAATAATGGCGTGGCGGGCGCACTGGTTTCCTTTGCATTGAAGCAATAACGAAAAATAAAAAAATGCCTGAAGACTCGCACCGTGTCTACACCAGATGCGACAAAATACTATAGAACCCATTATAATCGGTGATGCGGCCTACACTGGATGTGGCACAGCACAGCACGACAAATCCCCGACAGTAAACTGATGCCTCGTTCTATTTATGACGTAGGCCTACTGTTTGACAAAGTACAAATGATAAATGATTTGCAATGGTCACTTTGTGACATCCAGTGTGGACAGCCTCAAGCTGTTGGCTTACCTCCGGCCTTTTTTTCATTATTTATTTGTTTCATTTTTTTGGCTAGTAGAAATTATGAATGGCCGGTAACTTAAAAATTTAGTAGCCAAATTGGCTGGTGAGTGAAAAAGTTAATTTCAAACCCTGTCTGTAACATATGTTGAAATTTCTCTGCCAATTTTGCTTCTATCACAAAATAAATCCTGAGACTCGGACCTTTCCAGTGATATGTTTTTTGTCAAGATTATAAAAAGTTTTGATTGTAAAAGACCGTAATGCATTTTGTAATATGACACTTGACACCGCCCACTAAGGGAGAGGAGACCGCCAAAACATTTTAAAGTACAATTTCCATGGTAACGCAATATTCGATTTCAAAATGGTTTTCACAGGATGAATCTTGGGCTTCTTAGCTTTCAAACGATATATAATTTATGATGATTACTAAAACATTTGATAGAGAAAAAGGACAAAAAAAAAGAGCGCCAAGCGTCACACAGGTGGGACAGTGACAGTTAAGGGGTTTTAAATATAGGCCTGGTTTCACAAACGGGGCTTAGCTTAAGCCAGGACTAGACCTTGGTTAAATTAAGATATTTAAGCAATTTTTACAAAATGCCTTAGAAGAAAACATTACAGGTGTTCATCTTGACACAGAACAATGACACTGACATATGTTAAGATTTTTCATCATTTATTTGTTTCATTTTTTTGGCTAGTAGAAATTATGAATGGCCGGTAACTTAAAAATTTAGTAGCCAAATTGGCTGGTGAGTGAAAAAGTTAATTTCAAACCCTGTCTGTAACATATGTTGAAATTTCTCTGCCAATTTTGCTTCTATCACAAAATAAATCCTGAGACTCGGACCTTTCCAGTGATATGTTTTTTGTCAAGATTATAAAAAGTTTTGATTGTAAAAGACCGTAATGCATTTTGTAATATGACACTTGACACCGCCCACTAAGGGAGAGGAGACCGCCAAAACATTTTAAAGTACAATTTCCATGGTAACGCAATATTCGATTTCAAAATGGTTTTCACAGGATGAATCTTGGGCTTCTTAGCTTTCAAACGATATATAATTTATGATGATTACTAAAACATTTGATAGAGAAAAAGGACAAAAAAAAAGAGCGCCAAGCGTCACACAGGTGGGACAGTGACAGTTAAGGGGTTTTAAATATAGGCCTGGTTTCACAAACGGGGCTTAGCTTAAGCCAGGACTAGACCTTGGTTAAATTAAGATATTTAAGCAATTTTTACAAAATGCCTTAGAAGAAAACATTACAGGTGTTCATCTTGACACAGAACAATGACACTGACATATGTTAAGATATGTCAGAGCAAGATATTTTCAGTTGAGACAGCTCAAACATGCATTTTAGTCTGGGACTAGTTTAAGCCTTGCCTGTGAAACCGGGGGATAGTTTGATATTGCCAGGCAGTAAGAATTTGAAACTGTTAAAGTAGTCCCAAAGCTAGTTTATTGGTTGCACTGCAGCACATAAAATCTTTTTTATGTATAGCTATATTGTTCCAATCCAGACTCATGAAAATACGTGCCTCTATATACATTTCTGCAACACCTTACTGCACGTGTTGTGGCAGTTTCAAAGTGAAATGTCCAGAGAGTGGTGCTAAAACATACGTTCAATACATGACCGTGGCACATTTTTATTACGTTAGTACAGGCACGTAGGCTATAACCCAACCCTAAACCTATCATAAAGTGTTAACAAATGCAAAGGTGTTATACAAATGCATTTGTTGATGCAGCCGTGCTATTTGAACTTCCTCATGTAGATTTGAGCTGTTTTGTCGATCTATAGTTTCATGGGGTTCATACCGGAGCTCTTCATCACTCCTATGCTTCGCCGTATCACGTGAGCTCCTGAGCAAACCAACTAAATAAAAAAACTCATGCATATGAAGCTGTATATGTGATGACAACGTTCACAAGTACAAGTTTTCAAATTGCATAGGATGCTAAAATTGTTTTGAAGTCGTAATATTCTCTAACGTAATATTCTGCAAGTAATTGTAAATCATACTTTGTGTGAAAAGGAATAAAAGTTTTCAGAGTTTTTCTGCCTCTAGTGTTCATTTTAACTGGAAACTGCAGTGATTTGTACATGTATGTACGTTTTTTCAGTTTTGCATACAGTATGCTCGTATTTCCAATGAGCCTAGTTTCCAACTCTATCTCAAAAGCAAGTACTGCTGCACATAGCTCAAGTCTTAAAACTGTCATTTCAGCACACAGAGCGAGCGCCTTAAATAGGCAACAGCAGCAATGGCAGTGGTAGAAAAACACACATTTCCTTTCTCTGTGTGTATTGTTGAGAATGTTGGGGGTATATGCACTTAGTCTCTATGATTTCCATTCTTTGAACATCTGTTTTGACAGAGGAGCATCCAAGTCACATGCCTCCAGCGTTGGGAAGGTTACTTTGGAAATGTAATAGGTTACAGAATTAAGATATTTAAGCAATTTTTACAAAATGCCTTAGAAGAAAACATTACAGGTGTTCATCTTGACACAGAACAATGACACTGACATATGTTAAGATACGTCAGAGCAAGATATTTTCAGTTGAGACAGCTCAAACATGCATTTTAGTCTGGGACTAGTTTAAGCCTTGCCTGTGAAACCGGGGGATAGTTTGATATTGCCAGGCAGTAAGAATTTGAAACTGTTAAAGTAGTCCCAAAGCTAGTTTATTGGTTGCACTGCAGCACATAAAATCTTTTTTATGTATAGCTATATTGTTCCAATCCAGACTCATGAAAATACGTGCCTCTATATACATTTCTGCAACACCTTACTGCACGTGTTGTGGCAGTTTCAAAGTGAAATGTCCAGAGAGTGGTGCTAAAACATACGTTCAATACATGACCGTGGCACATTTTTATTACGTTAGTACAGGCACGTAGGCTATAACCCAACCCTAAACCTATCATAAAGTGTTAACAAATGCAAAGGTGTTATACAAATGCATTTGTTGATGCAGCCGTGCTATTTGAACTTCCTCATGTAGATTTGAGCTGTTTTGTCGATCTATAGTTTCATGGGGTTCATACCGGAGCTCTTCATCACTCCTATGCTTCGCCGTATCACGTGAGCTCCTGAGCAAACCAACTAAATAAAAAAACTCATGCATATGAAGCTGTATATGTGATGACAACGTTCACAAGTACAAGTTTTCAAATTGCATAGGATGCTAAAATTGTTTTGAAGTCGTAATATTCTCTAACGTAATATTCTGCAAGTAATTGTAAATCATACTTTGTGTGAAAAGGAATAAAAGTTTTCAGAGTTTTTCTGCCTCTAGTGTTCATTTTAACTGGAAACTGCAGTGATTTGTACATGTATGTACGTTTTTTCAGTTTTGCATACAGTATGCTCGTATTTCCAATGAGCCTAGTTTCCAACTCTATCTCAAAAGCAAGTACTGCTGCACATAGCTCAAGTCTTAAAACTGTCATTTCAGCACACAGAGCGAGCGCCTTAAATAGGCAACAGCAGCAATGGCAGTGGTAGAAAAACACACATTTCCTTTCTCTGTGTGTATTGT